CGCTTGAGTGCTTCATATTAGGAATTATACGACGATAATAAATAATATCTCAACATTTTGTTTTTTCTTTAAATAACAAATTTTTATAATAATATATTTTTTCTAAAATAAATTATTCTAATTTATGACCAATCATATAAAATACATTATATTTGTTAAATTGATTTAAGATGAAAGGCATATTTCAATAATTTTGTTATATAATTTTGCTATAATAATTTTAATAAATTCTTTATTAACAGATATTCTTAGCATTTTTTTACCAATTGAATATTTAAAATATTTAAAATATTTCTATTGGGTTTAATATTCAATAAAGCGTAATTTACATCGTGCTCGTCATGTAACGTTCAATATTCAACTCGTTAGAAAGGCACACGAGATTAGTTGTCATTGTTCCACCGATTGCCACTTACTCGACAATTCACCACGTAGCCGAACTTTCACTTTTGACGATAGTCGAATCGATTTAAACGCCATTCTTCCTTTTCGACGAAAATGTATTTCCGCGCTGTTGATGTAATCCTTTCTTTTTAATGAATCTTTAATTATAATGAATTTTATTCAACAACTCATGATTTGCTTGGTTTCTTAGTAATTGCTATAAATATTTAACAACGATATTTTATGTAAAAAAAATAAGAGCAGAATATCTTTCAGGAATAAATTGCTTGTGTAATTATATCTATTTTTTTTATATATATATAATGAGTAGTGAGTGTTGTTTGGCGGCAAACAAATCACTGATTCTATCTTATCGTAAGTCATCAACGATAAAGAGTAATGTAACAGAGCACTCGAGTGCGATCAAATTATCGGGTTCTTAAGTTTTATGCGTATCGGAGCATTAAATCGCTTTTCACCTAAGCGCATAATTAAGGTCATATTCCAAAGCGCCGTCGCACGCGCACGAAACGTTAAACATACTCAAGATGTATAAGCGATTTTGCCGCACGCTGACCGTTCTCTTCTTAATCCAGGACACTGTATATACAGCAACTATAAATAAGATATCTTACGAAACAAGAGTCTTACACAGTTAAAAACATTCCGAAATCAGGCGAAAGTGCTTGATTAAGAAAACCGTATAAACCGTTCTACAGTGTAATTCTCCCTACGCAGATTTCTTATCAGAATTTGTGTGCAGTCGAACAATTCTGTACATTATAATCTTGCAAATTAAAAGGAAACCCATATACATACTCTCTAAATCAGAATCAGTGGATAGTCACTAATTACCAAGCATACTTTGCACTGATAATCAATGAAGTTCAATTAAAAAAGGAAAAATGTTTGAGTATAACTAAAATACTGATATTTACACATTAATCTTTCAATATCATATTCATTGAATTTAAGCTAAAACAAGATCTACAAGGTAGATCACACAATAAAGATTAGCTAGGTTAGGGATCTTATATTTAATTCACTGAATACTAGTGGCATACTTTGCACTGATATCAGTGATTATCCACTGATTCAAATTTAGAGAGTTTGCAACACACGATAATGTACAAAATTTCATTCTTTATTCATAAAATTTCATTTTTATTATAATAGAAATTAGAATTATTTTGTGTGCAATCTGAAATGCGTTTTTGTAAACTTTAATTTATCTTCATATCTATTTGCTTCTCTTATATGATTAACTTTAGTACTGCGATTTTTTTCTAGACTGTATAAAGCCTTAAGTCCGCAATAGAGAAATCCGAGATCTTGACTGAAGTAAAAATTGACCAACTGACACATTGATTATGTGACTGATGTTAGATAGTTCAAATGTAATGTTTGTTAATTCTTTCTCTGTCCGAAATCCCGAACTGATTTCTAGCTTCGCGGACATAAGGCTTTAGACTTCGTTGCAACATATTTAACATGAACGGTAAAATATGAGATCAATTTCTAACCAGAGGCATACATGTCTATCTAACAATACAGTTGTGTTTCTTACAGCATGTATGTGTATTTTGTCGATCATACGATATACATAAATAAGGTGTCGTTGCATTCATTATTAGCCGCATTCCGACATTGTCTCGTGAATTGACATTGGTGACCTCGCCGTCTAGAAATCGAAACGTGCCGCACTTTAAAAAAGAAGAAAAGATTCCGCACCGACAATGTTTTATTTAACATGTCTGTTCGCTGACGTTTTACGGAATTCAGAGCGAAAGTGTTCGACAAAATTCTTCGCGACATTTCGACCTTCAAATATATAATTAAAATCGTGCTTTTATTTACCGCCTTGATTTATCTTTTTATTCCAGCTAAAATAAGTGCTGATAACGCGAAATTATTATTAGTCACAATTGAGATTTTGTAAAAAAAAATTATTTTTATGTTGATATTTGTTAATAAAAAAAAATATGATTTTCTTTTTAAAATACTTTTTCAAGAAATTATTTATAATTATAATTTTTTTTTAGTACACATGAAGATTATTTTAAGATTACTTTAAAAGCTCATAAGATTGTTTTATGGATCTGCTTTCTTTTGTCCCTGCAACTATTTTCTAACATATGTGGCTTTCGAAAGAATCGTTAAAACACATTGTGGTGTGTCTTCAGTTTCTTGCTTGCAATGTTATTTTGTAACGAAGGAAGTCTTATGAGAACATTGTGCGCTATTGTAGCGATTGTAAACGTAGAAGAGAATAGTTAATGAGCGTATTTCTCAAAGTAACTCCTCTTTGAAATATATTTAAAAAATTCTTGAAATGTATCTATATAATATTTTTGCATTCAACATCTAATCTATTTTTTGTTGTTGCACTAAAAGATATTTAATAATTTAAAAGTTATTAGTTCTTTCGTTCTCCAACATAGGATGTAATAAATAAATTGCACAGTTGATTCATTTCACAGTAATGAGTCATCTCGTGTTCGAGACTATCAAGATCAGGCTGTCATCGACTGCGTTCTCTAGCGATCTGTAACCTTTGTCGATTCCTGAGAACGGCCTTGTCGATTGCCGAGGGTCTCGATACCACTGTGACCTTCGATTGTATAGATTAACCTAATATATGGCTTGATGCGATGAATAAAGCCGTACGTGTGCGTCCAGTTGGTTAGCTTCTTATTCCAGATAATTAAATCCATATTTCTACAAAAAAGAGAAATTGCCTTATTTTATTTTTTTATAACAAAGCTTTATGTTTAAATTTAGCAACTAAGGATAAATTTGAA